AAACTATTCACGAGCCTCAGTATCGCCATATCTTCGACTTACATGTTTTTATTCACAATGACTTAATTATCGCTAAGCGATATAATATTACCGACAAATTTCGACTTCTTGTTTGTGCTTTCTTGCGGAAAATCAAAACTATAACTTATGCAGAAGTACGTAGCTAACTGTTCAATAAATACTGAGTCGGTTCAAAAGTTCTTTCCGTTTTTTCAATCTGTCATAAATTTACGTGGAATCAAGGCAGGCAAATGGTTCGAAGACATTAAAACGCAGTTTTTCTTCCTCTTTCAGAGGGTTATGTTTGGGACAATTTCCCTTGATGGTTTCTGAGATAACTGCCGAAATTCCAAACCCATGGTTTTTACCATGCCCAACTTTGGAAATTTTTCAAAATCTTCATTGTGAACTTCTGGGAGAACTTTAATAGCTGTTAGATAGTGTAAACAAATTGCAATGCAGAGCAATTTTCTCGCATCCTCATTTAGCATTTTGATATTTTTAGGATGATTCTTCCAAAAGTCTCCAGTTTTGCGAAGTCGCAAAATACACAAAGGCTCCAAACACTAACAAATCGTCGAAATTTGATACTTGCAAAGTTCGATTATGATTACACACTATCTTTACAAAGCAATAGAGCGTTTGTCGCTTCAAAATATCAAATTTGACATTTTGAGGATACAGCTCAAGGAGGGTTCAAAATTACTAGTTATGATGATTTTATCGCCGAAGATTCCACTAATAGAGTAGGGAAAAAGCTCCACAAAAATAGGAGAAAAGCTGCATCAAATGACATCTTTAGCTGCGCTCTGCTTGATGTTCCGTGGGCCTTGGGATGACCAAAAGTGAAATTTGATAGTATCAGAAATATAATTTTGAAAATTTTGGAAAGCTAGCTCTAAGTGTTAGAAGCTCCACTACAACCCCACTTTATTTACGCCATCTAAGAGCTATCAAAGTTCTTCCAGGGTGCATAATGAAGATTTTGAAATATTGCCAAATTTGGGCATGGTAAAACCATGGGTTTGAAATTTCGGAAATTATCTCAGAAACCAACGAAGCGAATGGTCCCAAAACATAAATTTGGAAAGACGAAGAAAAACTGCGTCTGATAGTCTTTAAACCATTTGCTTGCCCTGATTCCACATGATTTTGTGGCAGGTTGAAAAAACGGAAAGAACTTTTGAACCGACCTAATATTAGGTCGGTGCAAATTGCCACCTTTTTGAAATAACCCGCAAATCCCGTTCACCAGAGATGAACAAACATCTCAAGTTGTATTCGATCAAAAGTTCTTCCTCTCTCCAGCTTCTCTATTCTCATTGTGGTTCGTCTAGGGAATGCTGAGATAATCGCTGGAAACTGCAACTCATCGTTTTTAGCATGTCCAACTCAGGGCTCAGCAATGGTGGCGCTTTCACAAACTGAATGTCGTTTTTAGACGGCAAAGCAAAAGGAAACTCGTGTAGTCTCCAAGGGAATTTCCATAATTTTGAATGTTGACTCTAACACTTGGTAAGCCCAAATCCGTAGTTCTAACGTCACAACACCAACAAATATTAACATGTTAGAAACACGCTAACGCATAAACCTGTGTGCACACGAATTCAGCTTGTTAAAACAGATTTTTATGCACAAAAAATAAACAACTGGTCTGTTTGCAACGCGTAAGCAATACTGAGCCACCAAATATGGTAAGTACCTCGCGACGTTGACCAAAAGAGAAGCACGAGAAATCATGAAAACATTGTGTGAGAGGAGTTGTACAAGTTTTGTCTATTCTTGGTTGCTCCCGCGCAACCTGGGAGCACCCTGTGTTGCGCGGGACCAAACAAAGTTTTTTCTTCTTCTTCAGATAACTTCTCAAACTTTTTAACATAAATCTGTTCTTCAGGTCAAGCTCTACCTACGTGTGCTCATGTTAACCCAAGTTCCTAAGCCTCTACTTTGCTACAGCCCTTGATCATATAAAAATCGCCTTTTTTTCGCCTTTCGCTGTATTATCTTTGAAATTCCTTGATTTTACTTCATTTTATCCATTACCCGTTTGCTGAGATTGAGCGTACTCATGCAAACATCACAAAATGTTTTGTGATATTTCGCAATGTCAAAGGGGACTTCGTTTTTGAAATTCTCAAATGCAGCCTGTTGATGGGCCTTGGTCCAACTTCCGCTAATTTTCCAGATTTATATTGGAACTTTTAAGGGAGCTTTGATCGCCTGCATATATAGCAAGCTTTGCCAACTAATGCAATTTTTTATCGTGGCAAGTCTTCTAAAATTTCTAAAAATGTAATTTTTCAAGTAATCAAATTTTATATTCGCTATTATAATCTCGTAGAACACGAGAGGGTAAGCAGTTCAGATACCATTCGATGCAATTTCTCCTCCTCTTATTAGCAGTTGTTCTTTCTTGGCAACACTCACCAAATTTGCAGGAGAAGTGGCGGTATATCTCAACTTCACGAGTGCGCACTGGGTACACCAAGTCTCAAAATGTCAATATTTTGAAGAGAAAATTGCTCATTTAGTTTATAAGGTCAGTATGAATAACTGAACGTAGAAAGCCTCAGGTGTTTTGAAGATTTTGCAATGTTTAGGCCAGCGTTTTTTACGGATTCAAAACTTTGGGAAAAAAGTAAGAAAAAAAGAAAAAAGTTTTCTAAAAAGAACTCGGAAAAAGAAGAAAAATTGCTTTAATTGAAAAAAGGTTTGCGCCATCTGGTGGATATAAGAGCTTCGTTTCAAACAAAAATAAAATTTTTGAAAAATGTAATTCTTGAACGTTATGAAAACAAAACATTTTTATTTTCAGCGATTATCTCAGCACTCTTTCAATGGATCACATTGTGAGTAAGGCAGATGAAAAGAGAAAGAAAATTCTGCGTTGACAGCTTGAGCTTGAAATGTGTTTATCTTTATTCAGTCGTAGTTGCTGGTGGTCCCAAAAATCTACTTTTGACCGACTAAGTATAAATGAATGAAATTTTTTGAGAAACATAGGTGTTAAAAATAGAGTTTAGATTTATAATTATGATCTTCTTTCTAAACATACCCCTACGCATATAAAGACACTGATAGCAGTTACCATTTCACTTTTCCTACCATTTCTTCCTAATGATGATCTTGAGAGTGCCGTATCAATATTCCACCTGTCAAAGGGTAGAGGCAAGAAAGACCTACAATTACATTACTTTTTTAAACAAATATTTTCCATTTCTCCAATAAGCTTCCTTTTAGCCGAGGGCAAATGTTGTGATTAACCATCCTAAGCTACAACAAATTCTATTTTGAGAAAGCTACATATGTCACAATTAGCTGGAGTGCTATGACCTTTTCTTTTATCGTTTTCAAAAACGTTCTTTTCTTTCCAACATCAATGGAATGAATATGAAAAATTCTATCATTTGACATGCAGACGTTATCTATCAATAAGTTCAAGTGATGTCATTTCATTTAGACAAGAGTGAGAAAAGTTTATCTTTGCAGCTCTGCTTACCAAGGTAAGAAACACCTTTCAGGCACTGTTAGTATTCTGATAAATTGACAGTTGATTTTGAGTACTTTCAGACTTATTGCTAAAATCGCTACGCAGCTCTGCGTTTCCCACTTCTGTGTGGTACTTTTGTTTGTTTGCTCATGAAGATAACAACGGTCACAATTGGCTTCTTAAACGTTCACACACCCTTTAATCAAACATACAGATACTACAAGCGGCCACTAGCGTCATGCATTCTTATCATTTTCTTCGGTACAAAGATAATCTAAAGAACTAGCATCTTGGTTGAAATTTTGCTAATCTAGCTAAAGAATGTCATTCTCGTCTCCTTGTTGCCGTATTGATCGATTTATAACACTTAGGCAAGAACTTAAAGGGTTCTGATAAGAAGGAGATATCTTGCCACTTTTGTTACCTTTGGAAGGGGTGAGTGTGTATGTGTGTGCTGTCACTGAGTCACGTATTCTCTAAATAACTTTCTCTGACCGACTCCTACATCTATCACTCTTTTTTTCTTTTATTTTGGTTTCTTAAATTCTATTTTGTGAATATTCCTAATCGACTTTGATAAGTTTTTGAAATAGACTTTTAAATGCTGTTTATTTGCAGTTCCAACCTATATTTTAGAAGCTCGGAAATCATGTCTACCCGTAAAAACATACAACCAACACGAACTAATTTGCGGTAGAAAAGCGGATCACAAAACCTGAAAAATACTAGAATAAAATTCAGCAGACAATTTTAGCCATCGAATTTCGAGGATCCTCTTTCTAACTAATTATCCTAATTGATTTTTTCGCTTTCGGTTCAAGCACTTCTGAAAAGAGCGCTTTTTTTTGCTTCTTACATATTACATACTTTATGATAAACATTACATTAAAAAAATCAAAACTTATGCGTCAACCAAATAAATAAATAATAAATAATAATAAATAACTCTCTTTTAAGAGAAAGCTAAGGAAAAGCGAAGCGAAAAAAATGGGGAGGGGAAAACAGATGAAAAACTGCCTAAATCAATCATTTCGAGAAATTTGAGTGTTTCATTCAAGAGCTGATAATGTTTGAAAGATTGGCTTAAATCAGATCCTCAAATAATGAAGTCCGAAATTTAAGAAACTAAAGGGGGGGGGGGAAGAAAGTTAACATGTTTCTTAAAAATTGTGTTTTGTCAAGGTTCGTAATCACGCTTACCGAATTTTTACCTTTGCAATGTGAGGGAGAGGAGGAAGGGTACGGCGGCAACTGCTATGCCAGAAAATTTTTTGCAAAGCTGTTTGAAACTAACATCCTAGAAATTTATCCCACTCATTTGTAGAGAAAGCAAGTCATTTGTAATCCTACTAATGTAGACCATTTCCATTCTCACTCGTAGGCCATTAATATCAATTTATCAAAATCCGTCAATCGACTTTTTCTCCCCCTCTTCTTCGAAGCAGTTTTTCACACCACTTATCTATTCACCTCAGCTTCCTATGAAACCGATCAATTCTTCCAAATTGCAGGAACCAGCTTTTATCAATGCATGGAAGTTTCCTGGTCCTCATTTGTGTCGCACATGTCCTTTCGGATCCTTACCCATACTCTTGGCATGTCGGTGACCTCGCTTTTACTTGCGAGTTCGAATATGATGGTTAGACATTAGTTGTTCGATTGTAAAACGCTACATACCCTTTGATTCAACTGGCTTGACAGCTGGAAGGCGGAGCTTTGTGACCTGATTGAGGCTAGATAATCATCAGAGAGCAGGAGCGCGACAGAGACGCAGGCTCTGTCGTGGGTGCGAGCGGCCTCAATTGAGCAACACAGTCCCGCCTTCCAGCCGCCAAGCCAGTTGAATTAAAGGTTACAATCGTTTTCTCCACATTGTTCCATATAGGTTGGCAACAAGCTGGTACCTCTTGCTTTTACCCTATTAATAAAAGTCAAACATGGAATGATTCTAATATAATGTGCAGCAGTAACGTGTAAGTTGGGTAGTTACAAATTGCTGAATAAAAAGAACGTTGGTTAATTTCTTTTTTTGCAGATACAACTCTAGTTATGCGACTAACTTACAGAATTGGTTGATTGCTCGTTCACTGCTCAAGAAAGTGACTCCTGGAATCTACTGGACTGGTAGGAAAAAATTCTTTTTGCAGCAACCTTTTATCCTGATATGAGAGATTATAGGCTTGCGAAGCACTGACAATTCCAGCCTTCTAGAGGTCGAATCAGATCGGATTCAAATAAGCATCTACAATCCTCTTTGGGCTAGAGATGCACCCAAGATAGGCTATTCCAAAAATGATTGCGTAGCGTTGGATCTTCGTTCTGAAAGTAGTTTCGGCTGGCGCATGTACGAATGTACAGAGGAGCTACCAGTTCTCTGCGAAACATTTGCATGTTTGAAAAGTAAGGTTTTTCAAAATTATTCTCTTCTCTGCTGAGCGCTTTCAGGTGAATTTCGTTGTAATGATAACTCACGCTGTATCCCAAAAACCTCTGTCAACGATAATGTCGACGACTGCGGTGATGGTTCAGACGAAAAAAAATTGACAAGAAGTCTGATCAGTCTGAGTAACGTAAGCGGAATTTTTAGAACTGCACAGGGGTTGCAGATAATATGGCAAATAAAACTACTCTAAAAACTGACAGAGCCACCAATTTGTATCTTCGCTAATTTCAATGAAATTCTTGTTAATTTCAGAAAAATCGTCTTGCTTCCTTCCCAGTCTATTATAACTGCACTCACATCGAAATTAATGGAAATGGATGGATAATGCTTCCACGTGACTACGTTATAAACAAAACTTGCACGTGGGAATTGGTGGCACCACTTTCACATCCTTATATTTTCTTGATTGTGAGTGTATTATTCGATATATTGAGTCGGTGCAAAAGTCTTGTTAGATTCTAAACTTAAACTAATTGAAAATTTTGTACAGTAAGATAAACAACCATTTCAGCATCCGATGCAGAATTCTTTCGTCTCTACCTGCCACATTCCAAATCTAATAATTTAGCTCTCCAGCTTGTCCTTCGGGATTTTCGAAATATATTTTCTGATGTAAACAAGTTTCACTTTGTAGTTCGGATAACGTTCGATGCTACTCATCCTGCTTTGGTAGCAATTTTCTTTTCTATGCGAGACAACCAAAACTTGCGGAGATAATAGCAGTATTTCTAAATTTCACATGCGCGCTGTCGTACATTATGTTTTGAATCTCCACAGTTCAAAGCGGTACTTGCTCATTCACCTAGTACTACAGATCAAGCTTTCAACCTCCGTATGCTGAAGACTTTGCAGTGTTTGACTCATATATATGTTCGATTTTCTTTTGAAACTCGAGCTTGAGGAGTTACTTAGCAAAACTCTATAAAGATTTTTGAAAAATCAAAAAAGTTTAGTTAGCAAATGGGTTTGTTCTACGAGACGTGCAAAGAATGAAGGGTAATAAGCTTTGACGATTATCCCAGCACTTTTTGGATGAATCACACACACACACACACACACACACACACACACACACACACACACACACACACACACACACACACACACACACACACACACACACACACACACACACACACACACACACACACACACACACACACACACACACACACACACACACACACACACACACACACACACACACACACACACACACACACACACACACACACAACACACACACAACACACACACACATACACACACACACAACACACACACACAACACACACACACAACACACACACACAACACACACACACAACACACACACACAACACACACACACAACACACACACAACACGCACACAACACACACACAACACACACACAACACACACACAACACACACACAACACACACACAACACACACACAACACACACACAACACACACACAACACACACACACAACACACACACAACACACACACACAACACACACACAACACACACAACACACACACAACACACACACAACACACACACAACACACACAACACGCACACAACACACACAACACACACACAACACACACACACACAACACACACACAACACACACACAACACACACACAACACACACACAACACACACACAACACACACACAACACACACACAACACACACACAACACACACACAACACACACACAACACACACACAACACACACAACACACACACACAACACACACACAACACACACAACACACACACAACACACACACAACACACACACATTTAGCTTTATACGTAAGATTTGGGAGTGGATTTGAAAACCTGACAAACTTTTGCACCGACCTCGTAGTTTAAAACTTAGAAAAATTCCACTTTTCGTTGTTTGTAGGAAGAAGAGTTCAACCGCTCATGGGATACACATTTACAGCCTCAAATATTTGTCGCAAAAACAAAACTAATTTTTTCTCGAACTATCACTTCTGAGGAGCATTCAAAGAAGTTCTCTGCTCACTATCATTTGAAAGGTGAGGTGTATATGGTTCTTCTTCTTTCCGCAAATCAAGATCCTGCGACCTCCCAACTTGGTCAAGCATATACTGTACACTTGAGATGTTCGTACATCTGCCGTTTTCTCCCAACTGGAAAATGAAGAATAAAACTCAAGAATTCGTAACTACTTTTTCGGTTTCTATATGAAATTTGGTATTTTTCTGCAAACGCGCGAACAACCTGAAAATATTTTTTTTGTGTTGGGTTAGTGCACCTTCCTGCACTAAAAATTAGAAAATATCATATGTTTTATAGTATATCTCAAAAATCAATATGAAACAAAATCGATAAGCCAATTTAAAATATCGAAACTTGTAACTCTCTGTAGAGACATCGTTCACTATGAACTTTTCAGTTGAAAAGAGCATTTCATAGACCTTTGACTAAAAATAAATTCAACTTGCGGAGTGGCAACCGTACCAAACCCCTTTAAATAACGTTCAGAAAAGCTTTTGCCGAATAATCATCTTATATATAAAGCTGAATGTCTGTTTGTCTGTCTGTATGTCTGTCTGTCTGTATGTCTGTCTGTACGTATGTTCCGAATAGAAAATTCCATTTCTGAACCGATCCGGACCAAACTTGGCACACATACACTACGGGCCCCGGCGGGTGTCATAGGCTACTTTTCGTCATCGATCGATATCGATTTTATCGATTTTTATCGATTTTTTGCTGAGATCACCTACGGGGCTGGGAGTTGGCACAGGGGGGTAATCGAGCATGGGGATTCCGAATACAATATTGGTTTTCAGGATTATCGATTACTTTTATCGATTTTATCGATTTTTTGCAAAGTTTGAGCTACGGGGCTGGGAGTTCGCACAGTGGGGTAATCGAGCATGGGGATTCCGAATACAATATTGGTTTTCGGGATTATCGATTACTTTTATCGATTTTATCGATTTTTTTGCAAAGTTTGAGCTAGGGGGCTGGGAGTTGGCACAGGGGGTCAATCGAGCATGGGGATTCCGAATACAATATTGGTTTTCGGGATTATCGATTACTTTTATCGATTTTATCGATTTTTTTGCAAAGTTTGAGCTAGGGGGCTGGGAGTTGGCACAGGGGGGTAATCGAGCATGCTGATCACCCCCAAGGGGGATGATCAGCATGCTCGATAACACTCCTGTGCCAAATTCCAGCCCCCTAGCTCAAATTTTCAAAAAATCGATAAAATCGATAAAAGTAATGGACGATCTTGAAAACTAATATTGTATTCGTAATCTGCATGCTCGATTACCCCCCTGTGCAAACTCCCAGCCCCGCAGGTCAAACTTTACAAAAAAATCGATAAAATCGATAAAAGTAATGGACGATCCTGAAAACTAATATTGTGTTCGTAATCAGCATGCTCGATTACCCCCCTGTGCAAAATCCCAGCCTCGCATGTCAAAATTTACAAAAAATCGATAAAATCAATAAAAGTAATCGATAATTATGAAAACTAATATTGTATTCGGAATCCCCATGCTCACTTCCCCCCCTGTGCCAACTCCTAGCCCTGTAGGTGAACTCTGCAAAAAAATCGATAAAAATCGGTAAAATCGACATCGATCGATAACGAAAAGTGGACTGTGACACCCGCCGGGGCCCGAAGTGTATGTGGGCCAAGTTTGGTCCGGATACGGCGGAGCCGGGTAAGCCAGCTAGTAACTTATAATAACGGGCTAAGGGTTGTTTGCGTGTTTTTTTGTGTGTGTGTCTGAATGCCTGTCTGTCATGAAATTCATAGCGCGAGTTCCAGCCAATGTTCTGAGCTCAAATTTTGCATAGCGCATGCTACCAGCATAAAAGTCTACCGTGCGAAAGCACGAGCGGATTTGTTAGGTGGATCCCTCAGAAATTGCGCGTCAGCCGGGTCCAATTGGCTTTTGGCCCTCATAATTAGATCCGTATCACAACTTTTTGCAAAGTCGTAGATGTGCTTGGCATCTCAATGTGCAAGCCATGTATTTTGGTCCAAAAAAAGGATCAAAAGTCTACTATTTTACAAAAACGACGCCGAAAAGTATTGATTGCTAGATGGTCGATTTGCCAAGTTTTACTTGAGCATTTGAGAAGATTTTTGCACAGATGTGGCTCAGGGTGTTATTGTCCTTATAGCAACTGCCTAGCCAGAGAAAAGTTCAAGAACCTATTCAAACTTGCATTTGTTCTTCTGCGAAAAATTTCATCCTCTCAAAATTACCGTTCTCACATAGAAGAACTTTTGGAATGAGTAGTTGTTTACATTTTATTCGTAATATTCGGCATTGTCCGGTGAGTTTCAATGCCATCATAGGGCATGAATGAGTAAGGCGTATAGAGTAGGACCAAAGCGAGCCTCTGCAAATTAGTGTAGTTCGTAGCGCAAGCTGCAGCCAAGAGTTCGAGCTGATTTTTTGGCTACAGTACGCCAGCAGCACCCAGTTAATTATGTAAATAAGTGAGCGAATCTGTATCGGTTGCTGAAAATCGCGAGTCAAACGGATCCAGCAGGCATTTGCTAAGGCAAGCGAGATCCTAATTCAAGGAGTCTGCAGTTAACTGTAAAACTTTTAACTTGGACATCTTCTAAGCCCTGGAATTCAGCGCAGATACATAGCAAAAAGTTAATTTCGTGCAAAAGTGGCGTCAAAAAGAAATGACTCAATTGATTGTTGATTTTCAAAGAACTCACTGTATAGCTGGAAATATTTTAGGCTGGAAATGTAGTGTGCATCTGCTGTTGTTCTAATTAGTCAACACTGCATTGATAAAACGGATACAAAATTCACTAACCTTTTACCAAAAAGTATCGCCACGCTAATTTTACCGGTTTCACATGAAAACCTCGCAGAAAGAATGGTTTTTACATCATATTCTTCACGATCAGAATTTTCCGGGGAGGTTCAAAGCAATTTGAGAGATGAGGCAGGGCGCTGTTTAGCTCTGAAGACAAGCATGGACACGCAGACCCGAACGGCACGATATTCATGAGGCGCACAGAGCCAGTACCTGCTGTGGGCGTGCCATACTTTGCCTTCCTTAAGAGAAGATGTTGCTCAAAACTATAGAGTAGGGCCAGTGCGAGCCTCTGCGAAGCAGAGGTGATGCACTGGTATATTATATAAATCATTCGATACTCTCAATCCCGTAATTTGACAAAAGTGATTCGAGTCTGATTTGTATTCTTCACTCTGAGATGTTGTTGCTGATAGCAAAATCACTCAAAGCGGAAAACGTGCTGAGCAAGATTTTGGCTGTCTTCTAGTTCCATTGTTTGGAGCTTATTCGGAGTGCAAGTTCTAACAGATCATATACTGTTAAGGAGTAGTGCTTTGTGTAGAGTGCAATAAGTTGTAGAAAACTTATTCTTAAAACAAAGTGAATCATGTTTAAATAATTACCGTTTCTGCTAGGTAACGCAGTGTTTGAAAACTTCAAAAATCGCTTCTTCAAAAACTTCAAAAGTTTGGTCTACGTGGTTTTTGAGATGCTGATTAAAGTGATACTTATTATGTTGATAAGGTCTCATTCTCAAGTACTTTGGAAAAACGGTAATTCAAGGATTCTTAGTAAGACTAACGGGGGGAGGAAGAGGTCGTGTCCGGTGGTACTGCGCCCAGAGGTGCGATAGGTGGAGCCGGGCCCTCCAAAAGTGAAGGTGGTTCCAGCTACCACTGACCGGCCAAAAGTGAAGGTGGTAGTGCCGGACACTCGCCTCCCAAAAACGTCGACAGGGGGGGGGTAACGTCGACTGAGCCTATCCTTCCAGGTCGTTGCCGCCAGTGCGCGGAATATAAGCAAAACAATCGCAAAAAAGATCATTGAAGGCATATTTTTAGGAACACGGCGGCATATTTATTTAAAATAAACGTGTTTAGTAAATGGTGTATTTGGAAATAAAAAATAGCGGGACTGTACGGATTTTATTAAGTAAATTTTGTCATAACGTACTACAAATAAAGTAGGTCGATCCAGGGAATAACCGCCGAGAACCAGAATTTTGAATAATAAAATAACGATAAATTATGCGAAATTTCCATTTTCATAAATCTTGCGGTTGAAGATGTCAGCAATTGCGACTTCATAGGTTTTGAAGGGCAAATGTTGTTCTACCAGATAGTGAAAGAATTAGGTCGATCTGAGCAGTGGCCGCCGAGAACGAAAATTTTGAAAAATTAAGCGATTTTAGGTTACTTAGTGACAGCTGACGTTTAGACTTCTATAAATCTGGAACGTGAAGGAGTGCAATGTTGCGACTTCATAGGTTTTGTAGAGTAAGGATTGCTGTATCGGACCATGTCTTAGCCGTAACGATCCAATAAGATACCGCCGAGATTCAGGCTCTTGAAAAAACAAGTGAAAACCGCTTTTTGAAATTCAACAGCGCATAACTTCTCCAGAATTGCATGAATCATGTTGCGATTTCATAGGTTGGATTCTCCTCATCAAGAGCTTTCAGATGATATATAATATGTGGGGGTTTTGCGTCTCTCACAACATATGCCCGGGGGTGGAGACTTTTCACCCCAAAGTCTCCACTGGCGGTCTCCGGCCAGTACATTAAATGGGCGAGGTGGAGACTTTGGGGTGCAAAGTCTACACCCTGGGTTAGAGCCGCAAAAATCATTGAACCCCCCACATATTATATATCATCTGAAAGCTCTTGATGAGGAGAATCCAACCTATGAAATCGCAACATGATTCATGCAATTCTGGAGAAGTTATGCGCTGTTGAATTTCAAAAAGCGGTTTTTCACTTGTTTTTTCAAGAGCCTGAATCTCGGCGGTATCTTATTGGATCGTTACGGCTAAGACATGGTCCGATACAGCAATCCTTACTCTACAAAACCTATGAAGTCGCAACATTGCACTCCTTCACATTCCAGATTTATAGGAGTCTAAACGTCAGTTGTCACTAAGTAACCTAAAATCGCTTAATTTTTCAAAATTCTCGTTCTCGGCGGCCACTGCTCAAATCGACCTAATTCTTTCACTGTCTGGTAGAAGAACACTTGCCCTTTAAAACCTATGAAGTCGCAATTGCTGACATCTTCAGCCAGCAGATTTATAACAATGGAATCATCGCATGATTTTTCATTATTTTGTCATTCGAAATTCTGGTTCTCGGTGGTTATTTCCTGGATCGACTTACTACATAGATATATGCTCCCGATACTTTATTTTACCTTCCTTTTGCTTATTTTCCTTTTTTTGAGCTTCAACAAAAAATTTTTTCCAAACCCAAAAGTGAAGGTGGTCACCCCGTACCAGCTCAAAAGTGAAGGTAGGCGGAGACTCGGCTCCGACTATCGCACCTCTGACTGCGCCACACCTCTTGCTCGACCCTGCTCGTAGTATGGAATTACCTCTGTCAGATTTTGCTGGGACATGCCGAACATTAGGTTGGAAGTTTTACAGCTTTTCTCATAACTTTTCTGTCTTTGTAAATGATTCACTCACTGAAATCACATGGGATATGAGGTAAGCTACACTTAGAACAGTTTGCGCGCAGCTGTAGCACATGCTAAGCTCTTAATGCCAAAACGCCAAAACTGAATGCGCCACATTCAAATAGATAAAATTATAAGAAGCTGCGAAACTTAGTTTCCGGCCTGATTTTCTCTCAACTTCTAGCCAAGAAAAAATTGCAGCAGTGTACATATGCATAGCTGTTGCTACTGCTACTAGTTTTTGCAATAAGTTGGAGGTTTGTGTAAACTTTTAATTGAGTTTTGAACATAGATCCAATTTTTGGGCATTTGAAGATCTTAGATTTTTCCCTAACTTCGAAAGTATCAAATTTTTCAAGATTATTTGAACACCATTTTGCTCTCTTCGATTGAATAATTTGTTTCATAAATTATTTTGCCTTTTCTGCCTTTTAGAGGCACCTTTCACCCTAAGTTGATGGTCTTGAGCAGGGCTCGGCGTGAAGTGGCTTTTTCAAATTTCCAAAAACGAAGTCCTTGTAGACTTCGGCACAAAAATACGACATCACCTAAGACGCGATCATGAACGGATTGAAAAGAATAAATAAATAATGGAACAGAACATAAAACCAACATTGAACAGGCGAAAAAAAACTGAAGATGTTCGTATTCGTCGAATTGGCGGCATTCATGCCAAAACAGGCTTGCTGCCGGCTTACAAAATATTTGGAGGGCTGTAAGTAGGCGAGGAAGAGGGGGTCTAGGGAGATTCAAAAACCCAGTTGTAAGGTTTTCGATGCAGAATAAGGCTATGTTAGACATGTAAGAAAATTATGTGAAGGAAGGAAAATATATGACTTTTTTTACGCAGCCCATCAGGTAACTGTCCAGGTGGCTGGAAGACCACCTAACTCCAAAAAAAGTTTGCCACGCCTTCAGTTCACACAAATTTTTCATAATTTTTCGCACATATTCCCAACTCCCTATTGCCCATCTACACACCAATTTTGGTGCCAGTTCATTTTCTCTTCGCTGTAATCAAGGTCTTTTGTTTATTTCGAGGCAGGTTTGAATTCGCGCGCTTTACCGTCGAACATGCTGAAACAGAAATTTTTGGTTTTTGCATTTGATAAGGCAGAAATGACAATTTGCATCTTCTATAGAAGGTGTGTGACATAAAGGCAGAGGCGATTGTGTGTGTAGGGGGGAGGGGAGCTGAGGTTTCCGCTTCAACGATATCCCCCTTGCTTTTTACTCCGAAACGATAGCAGCTTGCCCTGTAAGCCACCTATGCCGAGCCCTGTCTTGAGCTTTTGGCAGAATATGATAGTCGGGCCCTTTATCAAGCTAATGCCCAAGTCGCGGCTCAAAATGTTGCTTAGGAGGCGAGGTCGCTCCGAAATAACCAAGATGCACGAGACTCCAGACGGCACCTCCCTGCCCATCCGTGCGGCCCATCCAATCACCGCGTCGGAAAGTCGGCCTGTGGGCTCTCCGGAACGGGGTTTGCCAGGGTTTTCGCAGATTCTCGATTTCATATTCGGAAGCAGGGGCATGAAAAGGCCCTGAAACAACAAAAACCTGAAAGTCGAGAATGTGGGTGGATGGTGCTTCCAAGGATTAATAACATGTATTGATTATGTATCAATGATCATAAAATGAGGGTAGGTAAAAACCGCGAAGATTTTGACGATTATTCGAGCGTTCAGCAAAGAATTTGGAACAAAAACAGCGCTAGAGAGAGGAACAATTTTGCATCCAGGTTAGGAGCGGTTGCCTGTTATTTTCTGTGCGATTTGAGCCTGAGTCTAAAAAACGCTCCGTTCTGGTTACTGGTGTAGCCTGTTGAACACACAGCTGTACCAAACTTCAGATCAATTCTTTGAGAAACAGATGAGCTATGGCAGTTTTCAGGGTGGACTTGTAGTTTTGGTTAACACTGTAAAAGACATTTCATGCCCTTGCAATGATTTCCTTCAAAAAAATTGAACTTGCGCGGATCCTCTGACAAGGGTTATGAATTCCTAGGCTTGTTTCAGACTGCCGCCTGACCGCAGCAGACTTCAGCAGACTGCAGTTGACCGCACTGGCCGCAGCAGACTGCAGCAGACTGCATCTAACCGCACTGACTGCAATGGCCGCAACGGCTGAAACCTGAAGTTGGAGAGGATAAATAGTTGTGACTCAAACAAACAATAACAATATATACCTAAAAGCAAAAGACAACACGGGCTAGAATGTCACAAGACAGGTATATGCAGTGATAGGAGGAATTAGAACAAATACGAACTTACCAAAGAAAAACTATCGCCAAAAGAAAAAGAAAGAAGAGAAAAATTGCGATGGAACTTATGATCTTCTTAGGCTTCTCGTAAATCACGCTGTTTTGATAATCGCGGTTGTTTTTTTTTTACGAAAGGAGGCAGCGACCGGTGCGGTCAGTATGGTCAACTGCAGTCAGCTGCAGTCTGCTGCGGTCAGTGCGGCAGTATGAAACAACCCCTAGCAATGCAAATTTTATTCAACGAGTATAGTATACTACAAGCCTTCGGAAGCATGCTGAAAAAGCTTAATATGTGAATGTGTCACTTTTAACAACGTGAATCTGAAGGCTACAGATAACATTTTTTTACCAATCTAGTACTATTTGTTTCCTTCCTATTGTGCAGATCACAAATTAGATATCAGCAAGGATCAAACTGTCAGTATATCGCTCTCCCCAATATTTTTGAGCGATTCAGGCCGTTTGGTGGAGAACAAATGAACACTTGTTCTACTGACGTTAGAACGATTTCCTTGGTGAAAAAATGCACAATTAACATAGAACGAGTGACCAAAAGCAGCTGTGTTGAAGACAGTGTCTCATAAGAATTGGTTGCCGACTTTTTTGCATTTCACAAGCCTTTCGCATCCTGTCGAACTTATTGAGGTTCAAAATGGCATGAAATCTCTAAAAACTCCTCATTTTCGAGGACATGTGGAAGCAACATGGAAGAGTTGTGCTTTTTTATTGTAATCTCTATCATCAGGGCAGAATCATCGAGAAGGTTGAAATTTAATGGAAGGACGTGTTCAGACACGTATACGGGAAAACGCTGAGTCGGCCTTAAAGGGAGTGTCCGGGCAAGAAATCGATTTAAAAAAAATGGGGGTTTTCCGCAACTTTAAATCAGAAAATTGACATTAGAAGGCGCGAAAACGGCGAAAACATGTGTATTTTAAAGCTTTACAATTTGAAGTTTGACGGTCCCGCCAAGGCGACGTAGAGTAGCTACGGGACCCTACAATTCTGACTGTGGCGGCATGCGTACAGTCTGTCCCAATCGGGATCAGGCCGAATCGTCGGCTGAATTTGCGCGCTGGCAGAGCTAGGGGATTGCGCTGCATACGCGCGCTGTCGCAGAGAGTGAAGAGATCGAAGAGAGAGCAGACTAGCTAGCCGCAGATGTCGCGCGAAACCCTCGCGGCGCGGACTCCCGCCATGCCGGTTTTGGCCTGGTTAGGATTGGGGCAGACTGTACCCTGTCGCATAACAGGAATTCAAACAGGTTGGAGGAATCCGCTCCAAAGCGTAGTTCCTCTGCTTCCCTCAAAGCGTAAGTTCCTCCGCTTCCCCACCGTTTTTCTTTCTTTAGGTTAAACGTTACAATCTCGTACTTGCGCGATGCTGACCACTTGCGCATGCCACTGAAATCACGAAACCAGACCTTGTCCGGACACTACCTTTGAGAACCAAATCGCTTGGTGAGGACGACTTTGAGAGCATTTTTCTCAGCGTGGGGGGGGGGGAGATCAAATCGAATCGGACGTGTTGCAATGACCTATCTAGAGCGTTCTGTAGTAGAATAAGACCAGCGCAACGTCAATTCTGGTGAGACCCAATTTAACTGCCCATGCTACCTTGAATAGTAAGTGTATTCGCAAAGCTCGGTGCGGAACACTGAGGAAACGTTTCCTAAAATAACTTGCTCAACTTCTATTCCCCAAAGTATAGCGGGCCAACGTTTACCAACGTATGCGCAGTTTTTGATAGCTAGAGATTACCAAAACCAATGTTCTAAAGTGAAGGTTCAACAAGTCTTTCAACGTGTTCAAATGTCTGCAGGGCCACGCCCTCTTTACGCATGGAAAACGCCTATATCAGATTTGTATAGACGATAATACATTCCATCGAAGAGATTCATATTCAGATGCTATAAAGGAGTGCTCTGTCAATACATCTGCTGTGGTACAAGATTTGAAAGAGGGACCTAGAATTGAGTGTAGTTATAGGTTTACTGCTCATAAACGTGATGATTGTCCTTACATATTACTAGAGGTTGGTGACGGATTAAAGATTGATTTTCTGTTCGTTTACTCCTACCCTTCAAACAATCGCATGGAATTTCAGATAACATCTCTTCCACTAAGTGGAACGACGGCGATTATTATATCTTACGATAATAGTTCTTATATTCATAATGTCACTTGTGAACAAGAAATAATAGTGGTGCCATCACAATCGGTTAATGTCATTGTGCAGACGTTACAAGCTGATGGTCGAGAAAAAGTATATGTAAGCGTGTGTTACTTGAAAGGTAAGCTCCTTGAAATCCGTTTTTCTTTCCAGTTCTTATGTGCAAATATATGTATACCAGCCGCTCTCTGCCGCTACGTGGTAGCTTCGCTTTCACGTAAATCTTTTGATTTACTCCTTATTGAGATGTGAAAATTTGCAGAAAATTTGCCGTTTTGCACGAATTACTCCGATTTATAACAGTTATGGAAAACTAAATTCAAGAACAATCGAGTGCATAATCCCAGCTTTCTCAGTTTATTTCGAATTAACTTCTAAGTAACGGATATTACGCGAACTGCGAAAAATCAATAAATTGATAGGGTTGATCAGTTCAGTTAACAAAGCGGCTCATTAACACACAGACACACCCTATCCCATGAGTCATGCCTGGCGAATTTAGTTTTCCATAACTCCTATCGTTTTTAGGCAAAAATGAAAAAATTCTAATGAAAAGTGCAAAAATCTACAAATCAGTAGCAACAGGCCGTGTGTACCGAACAAAATGGCTTATTAACAACGGCGCATCTATGCATTATGCCCGCCAAATTTGGTTTAGATCCCATGATCCCACTTTTCCATCATGAAATAAAAACATAAAAAAGAGGCTAAATCAAATGTTATGTAAGTATTATTTGACTATTATTGATTCGGTAGTTATGCCCGATCTTGCGGATGGACAACCATTCTCGATTTTGTTGATGAGCTAAGCCGGTCGACGAACCGAGGTTGGCATAGTTAGATATCAGCTAGCCTCCAGAAAATGACATACAAAATATCAGAAAATATGAAAAGTTATAAATTGAAGTTATAGATATTTTATTTAAATTAGCCATGCTTAGCTATCCCCTCCTTCCAGTTTTTTTAGCTGTGCAGAGATGAAATACGAAAAAATTAATAAATTAATAGAGTCTATTGCGGTGAAAAAGCTTACTGACACCTGCCCCAAGTCGAAGTTTACGTGCGCAAAGTTTGTTAAATTCCATTATTTTTTCTTACATTTTAGGCCGATCATAACAAAAGTGCTGAGCGAAAAGCTCCACAAATCAATAAATCAAAAGCGCCAATAGATGACTTTTTTTGAAAAAGCTTAGTGACACCCGCCCCACCCCGAGGTTCATGTGTGCAAAGTTTCATCCAAATGCCTTGATTCTTCATACCATTAGGCCGTTCATAAAAAAATGCTTATCAAATATTAGGTCATTCCGAAAGTAATTTCGCTTTCTTCAAACGGGCGCCACATTTGATGGAACAAAGATCTCTAAGAGACCTTGGTAGCATTCGATGCAGCATTTTATCCTCTTTTTAAGCGTTATGAAAATGTTGCAGCACACTCAGTGAGCTTTCAGAAAATTACCAAAATCTGCGCCCATGCTTTTTGAGATGGTCAAGTTTCATGATTTTTCTAAACTTTTATATCAACCCTACGAAAGAGAAGAGAGCAGCTTTTTATAGAGCAAACCCTATAGAATGCATAACAACTTTTTTCTCCTTTCCATAGCTCGTCATACATTTTTGGCAGAATTTTAACTGATGCTTCCAATTTTTATACGTGGACAGCTAAATCCTCGTAGAACATCAAAGGAAGAGCAGCTCGAGCACTATTCGATGCAGCATTTTCTCCTCTTTCTAACGGATGTTTTTTGTTTCCGATTCGTTGTGTTTTCGGGAATAAATTCATCACAAATCATTTTATGCGGGCTCCAGGGTGTACCCGAAAAACTCCAAATTTGATATTTCGGATCCTTAAATTCTCACTTGCTTTGTAAAATTAGTGCTAAATCATAGGACCATCTTGATAGTCTCAAATTCCGAAAATTATGATGTTTGATGTATTGTGGCTGACGTAGGCCTGCCAAAATTCGACAATTTTGTTAAAAATCTTTTGAAAAATTTTGGCGAGCTATGAAAAGGAGAAAAAACTTGTGCTGTATCCTTTGAGGCTTGTGCTATCTAATCTTTACTTGAATTCCCTCTGAGGCTTGATATGACAGTTAAAAAAATTGTGAAATTTGACCATCCCAAAAAGCATGAATCGCAGATTGGTTTTTTTCTGAAAGCACACTTAGTGCGCTGCAACGATTTCGTCACTGTTAGAAAGAGAATGAAATGCTGCATCGGATGCTTTCAAGACCTCTTAGAAATTTTTGTCCCTCCCAGATGTGGCGCCCGTTTGAAAAAAGCGAAATTACTTCCGGAATGACCTACTAATTATAGGTATTGATAATTGCCTAGCGTAATGTATAAACTTGATCTCTTCAAGTCCGCTAATGTTTTTCCTCAACTCACTTTCAACCACGATAAAGTTAAAAATCTTTTTGGTTATGACCCGACTTTGCCACAGCATTTCTAAACCTATGAGTGAAGTTGGAAGAAAACAGTCTGAAAGGATAACCGTTCGCTGCTTTATCTGCTATATTGCGTCAAGTACAGAAGTGGTCGCAAATACAGTAACTCGACCTCTACTGCAGCTAACGGTGCTGCTTGTTCGCTGATTCGGGGAGTGATTAGCATTGAGAAGCGCTTATGACTAAATACTCAGTTTTCATTAGAAGGGAATAATTAAAATACAAAAGATGAAGAAGTTAATGCAAAACCCCAATTACGCTTATGAGCGCTTAAATTAACGATGAACTTTACCTTTGCAGAAAAGTTGAGGTTACAGATAAATAGCTTGATCTACGCTGTCTAAGGCTGCGATGGGCCAGCTTGCTTTGCTATCTAGTGAATTCGCTTCAGCAGGTTACTGGTTCGATACATTCGTAGAGCCTTGCATTCTACTCTGTTTTCCGTATCACTATTGGGGGCTCCTTCTCAAAGGCAGCGTCCCACCAGACTGGGGGTACCTGGCTCTGGTAGTAATGTGGTAGTAGACCCCCTAACTAAGCGACGACAGAAGTTTGCAGCGCGAAAAGAAGTCTGCGAAGTCTACAAATCGCCTCTCAAGTGGCCCGAATCTTACGGTAGACTCGGGCGAGTGCGAGATGCAGCAAGGTAGAAACGCAGAGTCGTTGTGGGACCCTGCGCTCATGACTGTGTGTGCTATACGCACTCTGCCCTTGCGGATCGATATTGCTGTGAGGGCGGCGTCCGGGCCTATCGTAAGATTCTGGCCACATTTGGATCAAGTTTCAAGCATGATAGACCTCCTCTTTCGCTCCGAACTTCGGTCATCGCTTAGGTGGAGGGGGGGGGGTCTAGTTTAACATCGTCACAATAACCCGGCACCCATCTTTTTGCCGGGACGCTGCCCTTAAGGCACCAAATCTTGAGCTTTACAATTCACTGCCGCGATGCAACGTCTTAGGTGTCCATAAATGAACTGCTCGCGATTTTTGAAATGCATGGGCGTATAGCTTCTAGAAGCTAATGCCGAGCCAAGTCTTTATTACACAAAATGTGCTCGCGAAAATTATTAACGATCATAGCAATCTGAGTAGAGCAGCGACCGATTTACCAACGCCATCGTTGGCGAATCAACAGATGTTGCTGATCTACTGTTGATGCAAGCGTGTCGAATCCCCGTCATTGAGCAATGGAAGTAGGGCTAAATTGATCTAAAGCGACATATTTCAACAAATTAGCGAAGTTAAAGTGGAGCGGAGATGATATAAAATGCTCTTAAGTAATATCAGTTATCAAGTCATTAGAGATGCTGTGCCAAGCGGAGAATCGGAAGAATAAAACGGCATTTTCTATAGCTGACAAAATGACGAGATTTTTCAAATTTTCTGTTCTGACTTTTGAACCCTCAATTCATTGGCTTATATTTGGATGAGTCCACATCCTAAACCGTCAGTCTAAAGCTGTAGCATAATCATTTGATCGTTTTTGATATTACTGTTAGCTAGCTGGCAAAACCGGCTCTGCCTTGCCCTGATAGTAATATTTTTGTGATCAGCGCGCTCACTTACCCCCCTTCGGCAACTCACAGCCCCCTAGCTCAAAGTTTGCAAAAATCGATGAAACTGATACGATCGATAACGAAGAATGGCCTACCATTCTCTCCGTCCCGAAGTGTTTGTATGCTATGTTCGGCCCGTATCATACACAACATACAGACGTACAAGAAATACAAACAAGCATTCAGCTTTACCCTTTGCTTCAATGAGATCGGCGGCTGGTAGGCGGGGCTTCGTGACCTAACTAGGGCTAGAAGATGATCAAAGAGCATGTTCGCGAGGGAGGCGCAGACTGCGTCGAGGACGCGAGCAGCCACCACCTTAGTCATGAATCCCCGCCTTCCAGCAGCCAAGTTGGTCGAAGCAAAGGGTATTTATAAGATGTAGAAAACTTTTTGGACCAAAAAATCTGTGTTAAGTTACTCACCTGCAAATTGGTGTGAAAAAATTGTTTGCAGATGCAGCGGAAATTGCTGCCAGATATAATGCGTTTGTTTTCAAATGGCTTCCATCTGCAGTGAATGATTGCAATTTTCACAATTTAAAATTGACAGTTGACAATGCAAACATGTCAGTTCCAATCCCGGGTACCCTTGAGGTTCAGGAAGTAACCAAGGATGCTGGCACAGTCGAGGTTAGGTTATTTCTATGTCGATGTTGAATGCATATTCTGGGTTATTTCTAAAAAGTCTTTCGTGCAAATATCTGCAGGTCTATGCTGATGATAAAAATGAAACTCTTGCTTCATCTACAAGATTCTTCGTCAGGGAGAGATTAGAGCTACTCATCATGCAAAAAAATTCGAACTTTACTCTAGCGATGAGGTACTCGCAAGGTATTTCTTTTCAATCCATTTCCTCCAGTTGAAAATGCTTTATCGGATTGTCAGACTGCCCGGACATTCCGCAGGTGATTCGTGTCAAGCATAACTTGATTGATTCTCATGCGATAGGAAATGTTGTGAATTTTCAATGCGAAAACGAAACTTTAATGTTGTACGGTGCAAAGCAGATTAAGTGCCTCATAGGAGGCTTATGGTCATCATCTCCTCCAGTTTGCCTTGGTAAGTCAGGAATCATTATAGAATTGAGCTAACAATTCTTTTAGATACTACCCCAAAAGTGTGCCCACTTCCAATAATCGAATTCGGCTACATAGCCAATGTGTCGCATGCTGTCACCAAGTTTGGTGACGGGTCGAGTTTAAACTATGGTTGCATTTTTGGTTACACTACATCTGTAAATTCAACTGAATCGGTGTGTTTGGAAGGGTACTGGTCTCCCTCTACTTCCTGTAAAGGTATGTAAGCGTTTACTAAAATTACAATTACCGTCATCGTTATAATCATTGTTATTATTATTGTTATCGTCATTTTATCATTATTGCAATCCTCATGAGCAGGTACAGAGAGGTCAAGAAACTGTCAATGTACTCCGAGTACAGCAACAATTAATGATTTTGGCTTCGTGTGAATCAATTGGGGAATCCTAAGCAAATAACCTAGTTGCAGCTCATATGATTCATAAGTCAGGAAATTTAACTCTTCGCTTACAAGGGAAAGATCAGAATTCAAAGAGGCCGATCCAAATAAGGGCATACCATTGGCTGCAGCATAGAACCCTTAACAAATCCGTCATTCGTATTTGCTGAATTATTGCGATGTTATGGTTTTCACACAAGATTTTCACACGAGTTTCACACAAGAAAATCTTGCATAAAAATAGCAAATTGGACCGTTTGGCCTTTTTAGGGTTGGGCCAGACTGCGCGGGGTACGCGGCGTACACACCATATCTATATGCACTTATGCGTAAGCTGTGTGCGTCGCACAGACTGGTTCAATAAGCTCACTTTTGGGTTTAGACTATATACAAAAAAACTAGGTGCATATTTTGACCCAGCATTAAGCCAAATATGGATCTATGCGGCATATTTTGCACTTTGCACACACGATTTTTTATAACTGCGTCCATAAAGGCATTCAGCAATTACGGAAGGCTAAATTAGAGTCGGCGTTTTAAGGTGCTTTCAGTGGTAGGCAGCTTGATTGTACTGGCAACTTCAACTTTTAACTATTCTCTTGTTGGATCATGGCTCGACACCAGCTGTAACCAGAGAGATTTGACACGAAGCCCTAATTTGAAAAAAAATTTCCATGGTGTCTTCTTTGACTTTTTTGGTGTTCAAATCGGCCACCTAGATTTCTGACCATTTCCTTAGACGATTTCTCTGAGCGGCTAATCGGATTCTTCAAGTAGGCTTAAGGCTGCCGCGCTCTCGACCAGTTTGCGTCTTTCCCGCGCGCGTGCTCTCTGATCAATACCTAGCTTCGATTAGGTCACAAAGTCCCCCCTTCCAGCAGCCAAGCCATTTGAATCCAAGGGTAGTGTTCGATTGGTCTCTCGAAAGAAGCTGGGTTTGAGCATCGAGGACTGAGTTTCTCAACTGTTATCATATCATGTCAGCTGCCGCTTCGTCAATGGTTCGTTTAACTAAGACTTTCCAATCAGTGCCCACATAAGAAGCATGGGTTCCAAGATATACTTAGACGTTGCACCTGCATAAAAGCGATATACCCCAAAAGTAAAAAATTGCAAAACATATTTTAGTTTAAGGCTGAGAACAGCACCAATTTTTTTAGTGTTTTAAAGACCTAATGTTAAAGATTTTGTGACAACGGGCTATAAGTGCTCCGGATATGGCAGTGTATTATAATATCCACATGCAGTACAGCTATCTATGGCCGTCTTTATCAACGAACCATCGAGGATAGGGTAGGGTTTACCCAGAAAAGCAATTAACCCTATAACGAGCCTTGAAGATAAATTTTTACCCTTGAGCGTAAACCTTAACCCAGAGAGAGATTAACCTGTATTTATGACGTGACTCATCAGGGTAAATTTAGCCTAGCATAGAGCAAGATTCGATTCACTCTGGCATTTCGTACGAACATCTAGTGATCCCTCAATGCAGTGCTCAGTCCTAGCGATACTGTTTTGACGAACATATATTTATGTTAACTATCATCTCAAACTTCCTATGGCCTCTTTTCGTGTCTTCGTTTATTGTTATCATCCAGTATCATACTCGGCCGACTATAGTGAAAGATTAGTTTTGAGAAGAGTACGTGTCCAACCAAAAGCTCTGAAATTGCGAGGATCAAGCTCAACAACTCGAAAAAGCTTCCGTAATACGGAACTCCCTCATTCAAATTCTAGTCCACCAATATACTCGTTCAGTAAATGGTTTGGTACATGGCCAACCATAGCTCAACTATAATAGATAAACTTGAAGCTGACCAACAAAATACTAAAAAATTTTTATTATAGTTTTTGTGATACGATTAGACGAATCGAAAAGAGGACTGGGGAAATTTGAGACAGTAATAATTAGAAATGTGTGTTTGCTGTTAGAACATTATCGTTGAGACTGAGTGGTGCATCAAGAGATCATTTTATGTCCGTATGAAGTGTCAAGGTAAATTTGATCTTGGGGTATATGTCAAGATGAACGATAGCTGGTACTAGTGGCGCGCGGGGTCATGAACTGGCAATAACGTGTTCGCTCGAAGCTCCGCCCTACTGCGGCGGACGAGTTTCTCGGACGATACCGTCAAGTAAAAATAACTTTTGATAGTGAGATACAAGCTTGTTGCAAGCTGCGGTAAAGCTTGACTATTTACAGAATTTGTTTTGATTTTCTTTTCTTTTTTGGCAATCAATGAATAGCTGATGTGTTGTGTTGATCGTGAAATTCGATAGATTTGCTGATTTACCTATGAATGACCGAGTGACTCCTGGATATCCAACTTTGAAGTGTGAAATCAATCCAGAACACCTCAGGCATGATTGTTTGAGTGACCTCACAACTTATGACTAGTTCGCACGCAATTTCGATTGAGTTACAGATCGATTTATCTTGAGGATAGCAGTTTTTGGAAGCAAATTGAAAGAATTTTGTTATTCAAAGCAGATTCGAAAATATATAAGTGCAGTATGATTGTCCTGAAATCCGCGAAAATTTATGTGATATGACCGCATATTTGCAAAACGAGTTAGCTTGCTCAAAATAAAATTCGCCTTTAATGCTTGTTTTAAATTCTCGTCGCAATGAAATCTGTTTTTAGTTAGGATTAGGGTTTTGTAACTTACTTAGTTTTAACTAACTAACTTAGTTTTGTAAATTAATGGTGTTGGTCATTTGAGCAATAATAATAGTATTTCTCGATAAGCTGACTTCTTTTTGAACTAAACTTGAGAGTGCACAACAAAGCATATTCAATATGGTAACAAATATGAGTGGAGAAAAACACTTTTTCAAGCATTTTCGAAACAATTTTCTCATACCTGCAATAAAAAATCATTTTGGACAAGCCTACTAGGAACAAATAATTGAAATACATCAAAAAGAGCTTGCGAACTAATCTATAATGAAAAATGATCTGAAAATTGATTTTCAATTTAATTGAAATTTTGAAATCTACTGTTACCCAAATTGCAACCAACTGCAGAAGCATGAACGAAGTATTAGAGAGTTTTCCGATAGCGCAACGCATTCCTAGGCTAATTAACAAGGGGGCGGAGCGATCAGCGCACCGCGTACATTACCCAGCTGGCGGCTGGCACATGCTATCGTTCATCTTGACCGCCACCCTTGATCTTGCTCTATGCTAAGGTTAAATTTACCCTGGCGAGTTACGCTTGTGAGTACGAGTTAATCGTTTCTGAGGTAAAGTTTACCCTCAAAGTCGTTGATGAATACGACTTAGTTCTTTCCGGGGTAAAGTTTTACCCTCAAAAATAGGTTTAAGGTGAGGTTGAGACTACCCTGTGCTTCGTGAATACGGGTTTTATGCTTTCTGGGATAAAACTTACCCTCAGGGGTTCGCTAATGGATATGGCCACAGTAGCACTTGTGTTCTAGATTTGTATGCACTATATTCATTATTCAGGATTCCAATCAAGCACGCACTTTATCAACTTTCAGAAGCAACATGCTTACCTTTCGATATTGAAAATGGTATATTTGCCCAAAAATCGTACCAAGACGGTGAACTCGCATCTATAGAATGCCTTGACGGTTATGAAATCAATCCGACGTTGCCAATTTGTATAGGAGGTGTTTGGAACGTTACTAACGTAACTTGCGTAGGTGCGCTAACATATTGCTTGAGAGTTCTCCGTTGTTTGAACTTGGTTCAAATATAGATATCAACGAATGTGACAATAATCAGGATAATTGCGACCCTGATGCCATTTGCGAGAATCTCGAAGGAAGTTACACCTGTAAATGCCCAGACGGAAAAGAATTGTACATTGAGCAAGAGGATGTATACAGCCGCTATCTAATCCCAAACGTATCATGCATATGTGGGTCAAGAACATTTCTCGGAAGTTTTACTGTACTTTACAAGCATTAGGGACTTCATGTGATTTCGACAATTTGACAAAGGATGAAAGTTGGGTTGTTTGGAACAAAAAGAACCGTTACAGGTGATTCGACTTTTTAAAAGCACGTTCTTTCACGAAATCCTTTCAGACACAGTGAGTCAGTGACATTTCTGTGCAATATGACATACTTGGAAGAAGCGACATATGCTAGCTTTACCGCAAAATGTTTGAATGGCAAGTGGGGAACTGTTAAAAATCCTTGTGAAGGTACGTATCCTACTCGGTAATAAAAATAGTTTCCATCAATCTCTCCATTTTTTGAAAATCGACTACAGACCACTAATTATGGCATGTAAATCCAAGGTAACAATGCACAATTTGCGAGTTACAGTACCAACACCGACGCTTGAAATTCTGCAAGTAAACGCTTTGTCGCGCCGGATGTGCCGCATTGCGATAGCTTGCTTGAACTTCAACTAATAACTCTAGCTTAACTATTTAAAATCAGCGCCTTCTGGACATTCTAGAAGTGTTTTCAAAAATTTCAGAATCTCCTTTACAAAGATCTTTTTTTGAGGCCGTCGGCGGTTAAACGCATTGCCGCGTTCATATTGCCGCACCAACATAACTTCTTCAACCCAAACATAAGAAGTTCTAGCTCGAATGAATGGAATCAGCGTCTCCTAAACTAACTGAAAACGCTTTCGAAAATTTTAAAATCTTGCTTTCAAGTCTTTTTTGGCTCCATGCCAGCGGCGATCTAGATGCAATGTTGCGCTGAAAGTGCTGCATTAGTAACTCGGCTCAAAGTTCTTCAGTTAAAATGATGACCAAGTATTCGGTATCAGCATCTTTTTATTTACTTATGAGTCCGCTCAAACTTTACAGAATATTTTGTCTTGGTATAGGGGCCTGCAGGATCGCCAGAGTCGGACGTGCGTACGGCCATTGCGCCGCGCACGTCAGATGTGCGTCCGACGACTCAGGTAGATGCCAGACATTCGGTTCACCACCTTTAGTGTTGGACAGTGTAGTGATTTGACCTATGAACCGAACGAACCGGCTGAGGCGGACATCTGGCACCTGCCTTAGTGACATCGGACGTGCGCGGCGTAGTGGCCATACGCACGTCCGACTCTTGCGATCCTGCAGGCCCCTATACTTTTTTACATTATCGAGCGAAATAGGCAGCGAAAAAGTACCAAGACAAAAGATTTTGCAAAGTCTGAGCAGACTAAGTAAATAAAACGACGCTGATACCAAATACTTGATAAATTTAATTGAAGATTTTTGAGCCGAGTTACGGTAATGCGGCACTTTCAACGCGACATTGCGTTTAGATCGCCGCTGGCGTGGGGCCAAAAAAAAAACTTGAAAGCAAGATTTCGAAATTTTCAAAAGCGTTTTCAGGTAGTTCAAGAGACGCTGATTCCATTCATTCGAGCTAGAACTTCTTATGTTTGGGTTGAAGAAGTTATGATGGTGCGGCAGTATGAAAGCGGCAATCGTTTATACCGCCGATTGTCCCAAGAAAAATCTTTGTAAAGGAGATTCTGAAATTTTTGAAAACACTTCTAGATTGTCCAGAAGGCTCTGATTTCAAATATTCAAGCTAGAGTTCAATTAGTTGAAGTTCAAGCAAGCTATCGCAATGCGGCACATCCGGCGCGACAACGCGTTTATTTCGCAGAATTTCAAGGCGACAGTGTTGGCACTGTATATGTCATCAACTCTCTACAGCAAGAGAAAACTTACCTAAAAATTGAGCTTCCGCCTGCAGATAATTTGAAGAAAATCAAAGATTTTTACGTTCAAATGTGCTGTGAATTGTAAGATGGGATTGCAACAAAGTTAATTGAAGCCAACAATCTTACGCCAAAAGCTCTTCGAAGTTCCGACCGTGAAGTTCTATTAGGTTGATGCAAATATAATGAGCGTTTTTCAATTTTTCACTTCAACTTGCTATAACTTTCTACAAAATCTACATTTTGAAATGAGATAAAAATCATCAGATGTGCGAAACTTTCGCAGTACAGCGCACATTGACCTATACTCATCTTATATATAAAGCTGAATGTCTGTTTGTCTGTCTGTCTGTCTGTATGTATGTATGTATGTCTGTGTGTACGTATGTTCCGAATAGAAAATTCCATTTCTGAACCGATCCGGACCAAACTTGGCACACATACACTTCGGGCCCCGGCGGGTGTCACAGCCCACTTTTCGTCATCGATCGATATCGATTTTATCGATTTTTTGCAAAATTTGAACTACGGGGCTGGGAGTTGGCACAGGGGGGTAAGTGAGCATGGGGATTCCGAATACAATATTAGTTTTTAAAATCGTGCATTACTTTTATCGATTTTATCGATTTTTTTGCAAAGTTTGAGCTACGGGGCTGGGATTTGGCACAGGGGGGTAATCGAGCATGCTGATCACCCCCGTGGGGGTGATCAGCATGCTAAAAAAAGCAAATTTTGCAAAAAATCGATAAAATCGACATCAATCGATAACGAAAAGTGGACTGTGACACCCGCCGGGGCCCGAAGTGTATGTGTGTCAAGTTTGGCTCGGAGCGGTTAAGAAATGGAATTTTCTATTCGGAACATACGGCGGAGCCGGGTATGCCAGCTAGTATCTCATATGGGCAGAAAAATATGGACTGAAAAACAAAAATTTTTTTTTCTGAAGTCTTGTTTTTGACAAAACGTAACTCCTTTCATACTTTGTTGTTACCATTTATAGCAGCCTATCTTGTAGCCACAAGCCAGTAGTACAAATATACATAAAAACGGTTTGGAGAAAAAAGATTAGCGAAGAGGGAAAAATTGAAATTCAAAAATATCAACTTCTTTAGCATTTTTTCGGTAAACCTCAAAACCCCAAAGTATAGAATTTTCTAATTTTCTGCGTACTGAACACCTGGATGTTTTTGCAAAAACTGCTAATAGGACTCCTACCCTCATGCTTATAGAGATGAGCAAAGTTTGAGCGACTGCATTCTAGAAAAGAAAGTTATGGGCTCTAAAATGACCATAACCATTACCCATGTTAAGCCGTCGATATCTCACTTCAGATAACTTCAAAAAATATGTTCAAATATGCATAATGTAGATAATTTCCATCACATATAGCGCTAAATTTTCGTTGAACCATCTTCATTCGCGCTCAAATTCTGGCCAGAAAAATGAATGCAACGAAAATCTGGTTTTGAGTGCGATTCTCTGAAGCTCTATAAATTCTTAACAGAGTAGGCTAAAAGTCCATTTTGAACACCATTAGATAGAGCATGAAAAGAGCATTCTAACAATGTGCGGAAACCTTTAGAAAGAAAGAAGCTTGATGGAGAAAAATTGTCCTGAAAGAAGTCCTAGAAAAAACGCTCATTATTTTTGCATTAACCTAATATATTCCTACAGTTTTGTATCAGTCGCAGCGAATTTTAGAAAAAAAGCGACTTTTCTATAAGGTTTCAAAATGGAAAGGCAGAGTCTAGAAGTTAGCATGTTAGTGCAACATTCCGTCAAAAACGTACAAGACCTTCATTTTAGAGATAAAGACTGCAGTAAGCGCTGCAACAACGCAAAAACTCAGCTTCAAAACGGTAGGGATCGAATTAGACTGGTCATGATTGTGTTGAGGTGTTCTACGCTCACAGAACAAGGATAGCCACCTAACTTGAAATACCTTTCAGAAAAGCACACATTTGGAATTAGTTTTTTAGAAAACGCTGTTTCTATTAGGTTGTCAAGAAAATAATGTCGGTTTTTATTTGATTGCTTTAACAAAGCAACCAGACTCAACCCAACAAAGGATAAGGGGTACTGTTCGATAGAGCAAAGCAAGCTCTACAAGATGGCACTCATGTCTTTGCGCCATGCTCGATCCACGGAGAGTTTGAACTCAAAATCTAAAAATTTCCAAATGCCCAAAAAATCGAAAAAATCAGATCTTCGTCCAAATAATTTCTACGGACCTCCCACTCGCTCACATCAATACTATCAATATCTGATATCCATATGTGCGATTGCCGTATTTTTTTCCTTGACTAGAAATTGAGAAAACGAAAATTTCCCTGATTTTCTCAAAGCAATGCTGAGCCGTTTTTGCATATGTAGTTCTATACTACAAGCCTAGGTAAGTATAACTGTAGATTTTCAGCCCATTCCAAGCGGTAGTTTTCGAAAAATAACGAATTCGGATTTTTTCGTTTCAGTTTCAGTGCTAAAATCGACATTTCTCGAGAAGTACCGCTCGAAATAGGCTGAAAACCTACAGTTATGCTTACCTAGGCTTGTAGTATAGAACTACATATGCAAAAACTGCTCAGCATTGCTTTGAGAAAATCAGGAAAATTTTCGTTTTTTCAGTTTCTAGTCAAGGAAAAAATACGGCAATCGCACATATGGATATCAGATATCGATAGTATTGATGTGAGCGAGTGGGAGGTCCGTAGAAATTATTTGGACGAAGATCTGATTTTTTCGATTTTTTGGGCATTTGGAAATTTTTAGATTTTGAGTTCAAACTCTCCGTGGATCGAGCATGGCGCAAAGACATGAGTGCCATCTTGTAGAGCTTACTTTGCTTTATCGAAAAGTATCCCTTACCCTTTGTTGGGTTGAATCTGGCTGCTTTGTCAAAGCAAGCAAATAAAAACCGACATTATTTTCTTGACAACCTAATAGCTGCGCTGCATCATTCTGAAGGAAGTTGTGAGTTTTTTCTGAATGACATTGACTTTGGCATGAAGATTGCACGTAGACAGAAATTTGCCCGAAAAAGATAGGATAGCAAAATAACATCAGATGAAGTCTTTTGTCACTAACATGGGTATTAGCGTGGAGCAGGGTACTAGCATATAGATGATGGTACGGTAATGTTACCATGTCGATAATTAAGCAAGAATTGCTAAGAGAAAAGCCTTTCCATGTCGATAATTGAGCAAAATTTGCTAAAAAAAGCCTTTAAGGTGTAGAATTCTGCGTTGCAGCTACGAGCAGCTACATACAGAGTGTTTCAAAAACGTGCAGATGGTTTGAGCAGTAATAACTCTCTGCATTAATGTCTTTCGCGGATCTTTGGGTATCTAGAGCTGGCTTCAACTAAGATTTGCCGTATGGAACGATTTATCAAACGCTCTTCATTGCTAAGGTTTACGATAGGAACTTCCAGCATACAGAACCATCATGAAATAAGCCGTCTGACAAATTTTTTTGAAAAATCGAAGAATTATGTCAGGGTTTTCGCACATGCTTATTTCACTA